GAGGGACGAGCTCCAAGCTGAGCTGGACGCGCTCAAGAAGTCTAGGGAGAAGGATTGTGAAGACGCCAATAATGCCGGCTTCAAAGAGGCGGAAGACAACTACAAAAAACAAGTCTTCGCCACCCAGGACATTTATTTCAAGGCCGGTTGGAAGTCTGCCTGCCAACAGCTCGGTCAAGGTCCTGACACTAACGTGTTTGCCTCTCCACCGGCTGTCTTCTTACCGACCTACCTCATTCCATACGCCAATGACGTCTTCAGCGCGCTGCAGGCTGAGGCCGAGGAAGGACTCGAAGAAGCCGAGGCAGACGCTGAGGGAGGTGACCAGACCGAGCAGGAGCAGCCCGGCCAGACTGGAATTGGTGTCCAGGACCAGACAGCAACAGTCATCCTGGAAGCTGATGAGGAATTCCCAGACCTCTCCCCCTTAGCTTAGTTTTCTTTTTTCTTTGTCTGCAAATGTAACCGGGCTAAGTTCCCCACCTTTTGTATTAACTTTTTATCAATGAAAAGCTTTAATTTCATCAAGTGTTTGCACGGTTTTCTCCAACTCTATCTTCAGCAAAACATCTCGGTTTGAACCACCTGGCCTGACCGGAATTCACATCACGGTATAAGTAACAGGATTGAACTTCTTCAACCGGAATAACCATCTCGGTTGGAACAACAAAGTTGAACAAATCACCAGTCTCTCAACCGGAATAAACCATCTCGGTTGAGAATACCTAAGCTGAACCAAACATCAACTTCTTCAACCGGAATAACCATCTTGGTTGGAACAACAAAGTTGAACAAATCACCAGTCTCTCAACCGGAATAAACCAACTCGGTTGAGAATACCTAAGCTGAACCAAACATCAACTTCTTCAACCGGAATAACCATCTTGGTTGGAACAACAAAGTTGAACAAATCACCAACTCTTCCAACCGGAGTGAATCATCTCGGTTGGAAATCCTAAGTTGAGCAAGTCATCAACTCTTCTAACCGGAGTAAATCATCTTGGTTGGGAATCCTAAGTTAAGCAAGTCATCAACTCTTCCAACCGGAGTGAATCATCTCAGTTGGGAATCCTAAGTTGAGCAAGTCATCAACTCTTCCAACCAGAGTAAATCATCTTGGTTAGGAATCCTAAGTTGAGCAAGTCATCAACTCTTCCAACCGGAGTGAATCATCTCGGTTGGGAATCCTAAGTTGAGCAAGTCATCAACTCTTCCAACCGGAGTGAATCATCTCGGTTGGGAAACTCAAAACAGGGCAATAATCAAAATGCCAAAGCAAAGAGGACACTTCTATATATTGACAAAAAGAATTACATTCTGAAGTGTAAGCCAAAAAATTCTTTTGCACAAAAAGAAAGCTAAAACTAGAAATAATACAGTTTGAGGTTGGCCGCATTCCATGGCCGGGGCATTCCTCTACCATCCAGATCCTCCAAGTGGTATGCCCCCTTGCCCGCCAGACCAGTTATCTTGTAGGGTCCTTCCCAATTTGCTCCTAGTTTGCCTTCACCTGGCACCAGGGTGTTGCCCATAACTTTCCTCAAAACCTAATCACCTACTTTGAACGGTCTGGGGTGCACCGTTTTGTTGTACTTCCTTGAGAGCTCTTGTTGGTAGGCGGCCACGTGGATGAGGGCCTTCTCCCGATAGGTCTAGTTCTAGGGTGATGGCCTCGGCGTTCAGTTCAGGCTCAAAACTTTCACTTCTTAGAGTGGGCATGCCAATTTCCAAAGGTATGACCGCCTCCATGCCATAAGCCAAAGCAAATGGAGTTTCCCCAGTCGACCTCCCCTTTGCCTTCTCCAGTCGTTTCTTCAACCCATCCAGGATGGTCTTGTTTGATGCCTCGGCCTGACCATTGGACTGCAGGTAAGCCGGAGTAGAGTTGTAGAATTCAATCTTTAGATCTTCACAAAATCCTTTGAATAGGCGACCGTCAAACTGGGTGCCGTTATCAGAGATCAAAATCTCGGGGACGCCAAACCGCGTGACCACATTTTGCCAGACAAATCGCTTCACGTCTTTCTCCTTGATTGTTGTCAAGGGCTCAGCTTCAACCCATTTGGTGAAGTAATCTATGGCCGCGATGAAGAACTTCCGGTTGCCTGGTACTGTTAGTAGCGGCCCGACTATATCTAGCCCCCACATTGCAAAGGGCCAAGGCTGGTGAGGGAAGAAGTTCTCTGGCCGGTTGGTGGATCTGATGGCCGAATTTCAGGCACTTTTCACACTTGCGGACATATTTTTGTGCGTCGGCCTGCATGCACGGCCACCAGTAGCCCTGCGAAATAGCCCGATAGGCCAGTGACCTGCCCCTTACATGGCTGCCACAGATGCCTTCGTGAATTTCGTACAAGAAGGCCTCCACGCTACTCGGGTGCACGCACTTCAGATAAGGACCGGTGAAAGACTTTTTATACAACGCTCCAGATAGAGAGAGCCTAAACCGCTCTAACTTTACCGAATTTTGTGCACTTCTTTCTTGTCTGCTGGCAGAGTCCGATCTCTGAGAAACAGGGTTATAGGGTCCATCCAGGAAGGACCTAGCGTGGCGCAGAGTACATCCGTCTTCCCGGCTTCCTCTATGCTTGGCCGTGGAAGGAATTCAATTAACAGGGGGTTAGGAGATGTACAATCAACCATTGAAACAAGACCGACCAGCTCATCAGCTCGGCTGTTTTCTTCTTGGCCAATCTGTTGAACTCTGATTGCCTGAAATTGCTTGATGTGTTCCCTGACCAGAGCTTGGTACTTTGCCATTCTATCATCCTTTGCTTCATAAATCCCAGCGAGTTGGTTAACCACAAGCTGGGAATCATTATACACCATTAGCTCGGAAACCTTCATCTGAAGGGCGCTCTTGAGTCCGGTCAAAAGTGCCTCGTACTCAGCCTCGTTGTTGGATGCTGGGAAGCCAAGGGTGATAGAATGTTCAATAGTTAGGCAATCCGGCGAGATAAAAACGATACCTAGCCCAGCACCGTGACGGTTTGACGCTCCATCAATGAAAAGTTTCCGCATCTCCCCCACAAAGAGCTTCCAACATTCTGAAGGGTCCTGAGAGTCTCGAAGGTCGATGAGATCACGGTTGTTCGGCTGTTCGGCTGCACGTTTTGTGCCGACTGGTTCCACTTCAGCCCCTCTTGGTGATTCGGCACCGGACTCGGCAGGTTGATCTACAATGCCCAAGTCCGCAGGCGAATCTCCAAGTTGCGGTATTATGCCAGCCGCAGGCTCTGTTCTGAGTGCTTCCACTTCTTCCCCTCTTGGTGATTCGGCACCGGGCTCGGCAAGTTGATCTACAATGCCCAAGTCCGTAGGCGAATCTCCAGGTTGCGGTATTATGCCGGCCGCAGGCTCTGTGCTGAGTGGTTCCACTTTTTCCCCCCTTTGTGATGCGGTATCGGATAGAGCAGGTTGGACGGTGATTCCTAATTCCATTATCGCATCACCGTGCGGTGGATTTGTACAAACTGAGGGTGTGCCGGAGGGGCGCGCTAAGTCCGCGTCGCCAGCTCTATCAAGTTGTCGTGTCTCAGTCGTGCTTGCATTCACCTCATCATCTGCCACGGCAATGTCGACCGGGCACACCGAATGAGTTCCAGGTGAGAATTTCGCAACGAAATCGACCAAGGTCTGGGCTTTTATAGCAGTGCGCGGCTGGAACTTGACATCAAATTGACCCAATTCGACCGCCCACTTGAGAATTCGGCCAGAGAAGTCTGCCCGTTCAAACAAGGCCTTAAGGGGGAATTCGGTCAGAACGATGATGGTATGGGCGTGAAAATAGTGCGCCAACTTCCTTGAAACCATCATCAATGCTAACGCAAGCTTTTCCAACGGCAAGTATCTCAACTCTGCCGGCAGCAAGGTCTTACTGACGTAGAAGATTGGGAGGTGCTTAATTCCTTCAGCTCAGACAAGCACCGCACTGACGGCATGCTGTGAGACGGCAAGGTAAAGATAGAGTTCCTCGCCTGGCTTTGGTGTAACCAACAGTGGCGGAGAAGACAGATACTCCTTGAGCTCGACCAAAGCCCGGTCACAATCTTCGTCCCACGAGAACTTTGATTTCAATGCCTGAAAGAAAGGGCGGTAGTGATCTGATGACCGACTTATAAATCGATTAAGCGCGGCGGCCATCCCGGCCAGATACTGCACGTCCTTAGTCGAGCTGGGCTGTTTCAAATCTTGCACGGCACTGATCTGAGTAGGGTCTGCTTCGATGCCTCGGTTCGTGACTAGGAATCCCAAAAAAATTTCGGATCCCACGCCAAAGGCACACTTAGACGCATTCAGGCGCAGCTTGTGTTTTTTTAGAATGGCAAACATTTCGGCCAAGTCGGATAAGTGGTCTCCTGCATGCCAACTTTTAACCACCATATCATCAATGTAGGCTTCCATTGTCCGCCCAAGCAAAGGAGCAAACATCTTTGTCACCATCCTCTGAAAAGTTGCCCTGGCGTTCTTCAAACCAAAAGGCATGACTCGGTAACAGAAGAGTCCTCTTGGAGTCGTGAATAAAGTAATCTCTCGGTCGGGCCCATGCATGACAATCTGGTGGTAGCCGCGATAGGTATCCAAGAAGCTGAACCGATTATGTCCAGCCGTCAAGTCCACAAGCTGGTCAATACGGAGCAAAGGGAAGCTATCCTTCGGACAAGCTCGGTTAACTGTCTTGTAATCGACACAAACTCGCCACTTCCCATTCTTCTTGGGCACCACTACTGTGTTGGAAATCCATCGAGGGTAGTGCACTTCCTAAATTGCTCGTGCCTCAAGCAAGTTTTTTACTTCCTCTGCAACTGCCTCGGCGTGATGAAGCTCCGATCTCCTTGTTCGCTAAATGACTGGCTTTGCTCCGGGGAAGACATTGAGGTGATGGCAGATAAAACTTGGATCGAGGCCGGGCATATCGTAAGGCGACCATGCGAACACTTCGATGTTAGTCATCAAAAACTCAACCATCTCAGTCCTTTCTTGGGCCGTGAGGCTGGAACCGAGCAGGAAGAACTTATCCGGCCGCTCCATATCAACTCGCACCTCCACCAATTCCTCAACAGCTTTGTCCTCTGCCTTGGTGCCCACATCGTCAAGAACTTCCCGGCCTTCTGGTCCTTCTATCATTTGAACGAAGCCTTTGGCAGCCCGGCTCCTGTTCACTGCCACGAAGCATTGTTCGGACATGACTTAATCTCTCCAAATCTCCTCGATTGCCCCCATAGCCGAGGGGAATCTCATCACCTGATGGTAGGTCGACGCTACGGCTTGCATGGCGTGAAGCCATCCCCTTCCAAGGATTAGATTGTAAGTAGAAGGAACTTGTAACACCCAGAACTCCACTTGCTTGACCACAGATCCTGCTTTGACCGGCAGGATAATCTTTCCCAAAGCCCACTCCGGTTGTGAGTTAAAACCAACCAATGGCGAAGTTGCCGGAGCCAAGTCTGTCTCCCGGAGCTTGAGCTGCTTGAACGCGTCGTAATACATGATCTCGACCGAGCTTCCCTGATCGATCAAGATCCGTTTGACATCGAATTCCTTGACGCGGAGTGTTACTACTAAGGTATCGTTGTGCGGCGTCTGAATACGCTCTAGATCCCTTGAGGTGAAACTAATCACATCTTTCTCTACCGTCTTCCCCCTCATGATGGCAGGCTGTACCGACAAAACCTCCCTCATATGTTCTGCCTTTTTGATCATACCCCGGAGTTCGCAAACACGCTCTGGTTCCACTATGCCGTGGATGACATTAATAACTCCGTATGGTGGCGCATCTCGGTCATCCTGTCCCCTGGGCTCAACCGGAGCCTGGTTCGCCTTTACGCCCCCATCAATGTAAAGGTCTAGGTGTCCGGCCGCGACTAGCTCTTCCAGGTGTTGCCTCAAAGGCAAACAATCCTCAGTCCAATGGCCTCGCTCCCGATGAAATGTGCAACGATACCGCGGATTGTAGCCCTTTTATCCATCGCCCAACTTAGCAGGAAACCGGACATACTCCTCGTCTCGGATTTCACTAAGTATGCGATAGATTGGAATCTTGAAGACCATGGTTATGCCAGTCCTTGCCTTCAACCTTCTGTTTGCCTCTGCTACGTCATCTCAGGGGTAGTCATCCCGGTCATTCCGACGTCCTCTACCCCGATTTTTGCGATTCGAGCCACGGTCCGATTCCTCTACTCGGTCACTTGAGCGGCTGGACTCTTGCCCAACTGCGTGCACTTTGCCTGCTATCTTCTTGTCTATTGCTACCGGAGTTGCCTTCACGGTAGATGCTGAAGCATCATTCTCGACTCGGATGTGCTCATTGATGCGCTGCATGAACTGGCCCATGGACGTTGGTTGGTGTATAGTAAGTGAGTCCCGCAGTCTATGTCCGACCGAGAGACCATGCTTGTATTGAGTGATTGCAAGGTTGGCCGGGCTATCCAAGATCTCGTTGAAGGTCTCCCAATATCTAGAGTTGTACGCCTTCAATGTGTCGCTCGATTCCATCTTGACACTCAGTAGGTGATCAACTTCTTTTGGTGTTGTGGTGTTGGTTTTGAAGCGCGTGACAAAGGCTTCGGCCAGCTGATGCCACCTCTCAATACTCCCCTCCGGCAGCCTTTCAAACCACTTCAAGCCTAGTTCGCCCAAACTTGACGGAAAGATGAAGCACATAAGAGCATCATTCCGCCTATGTCCGGCCATGACCTGTCGGAAATGACTTACATGTATGTAGGGATCGGTCTTCCCGTCGTACAATGTGAACTTCAGCTGGTGGAAGCCCGACGGGAGAGTTGTTGTTTCTATTTCCAGGGAGAAAGGGGTGGCACTCAACCTTGCCAGATCTGAATCCACCAGGAGTGGCGCTGCTTGGCGAGGTGGAGGCATTCTGACCTCCTCGCTGGCGTGAACCCCGTAGGATAACCGCTGGAACGCCGGTATCCTCTGAGCTTCCCGCCGGTGAGCCCACTCCTTTAAGACCGCCCGCAAATCCTCTGAATGAGCGGAGTAAGAGTACATCGACGTCGTTACTGGACGTGAGGGCCGGTAAGTGCTATCTTGCGCGTTAGACTTTTCTGCATGCACGTCGGAATCACCAACCTTGTAACTTCTGGTAATAGAAATGGACGGAGTACGTCGCTGACTCTGACCGCCTAAACGGCAGGGTTGGGTGCGCTCACTGTGGTCTCCCACTCCAGCTACACCCTTCCTTTTGACATGTCGCTTCAGCTCCTCCATCTCCGCCGCCATTCGTCGGATGACGGCGTCCTGGTCCTTCAGCTTATTTTCCAGACGTCTAGCATGTGGGTCTCTCCTCCGCCGATGACTGTCTGGATTCCGTGAATGACCATGACTTCTTCCGCGCTTATCCCGCACGTCTCCCGACTGTTCTCCTGGGAATGTCTCCAAGTCCCCCATCGGAGGAATGGTGGGGTGTCCCTCTCTCCGTCTGCCTGACTCCGGAGTGGCTCCATCGATGGCGGACAGCGGAATCTCTTCGTTGTTCGCCATAAAAAGCGATCGGATGAGCAAGGAAGATAAGGTTTTATCTACAAAGCTTCCCACAGACGGCGCCAATTGTACGGGGAGCAAATATTCAAGTGAGCCCGTACTCCCTTCTTCCAAGCTCCGCTTCTATCCGATCACCTGCGTACACAAAGGCGGTGAGCTACCCGGCGGTGTGTGGCCGGAAAACCCCTCCGATGGTCAAGTTAGAACACACACCAGGGGATAGATAGAGAGAAGGGAGAGAATTATGTTTAAGTGTTTCTCTTACCAAATGTACATCCTCCACGTATGGGGGGTGCAGACATGCCTATATACCTTCTGCGCCCCAAATCTACTCCCAGTGACCTCTCAACACGTGGCACTGCTATCCCATCTGTCAACATAAACCTTGCTGAACACCACCTAACCCAACTGCCTGCCCATTCTCCTGGGAGCTCGGCAGCCGAGCAGTATCATCTCGGCCATCGTCTGTCATGCTGCGCTTCATGCCCAAGTACTCCAACAGCTAAGCTCAGATGAGGACCGGACTTGGCGGCATCTCGGCAAAGCCGATCTCGGGGCAGCTTACGCTTGTCTGCGGTCGACCTACCTGCCGAGCAAACAGGTACCTCGGTCCAACCTTACCTTTCCTGGCGTCGGACTTTTCACCTGACCGGCTTCGTAACCACGGATCCTTGCAGCTCGATCAATTCACGTGCTGCCTTAACCGAGCAGCTTCCTTCAAGGCCGGGCCACACAACTTGGCCCAACACCTGTCCGGCACAACTCTGTGCAGCCCAAATCTGTCTGACCCAATTCCATATCATTAATCTCCCTCTCATAAGATAATTGTGGAGACATATATTTTGGGTAGTCCACGTGACCGAGGTTGTTAGCCGAGGTGCTACGTGGGCAGATCATGTTTGCCGATATATTTGGGGCACTGCCGAGGTATTCTGCGGCAATACCAGAATCCGAGATAAGCGGATAAGGGATAATAGTCCTAAAATGGGAGAAGACTTCAGTTTGGATAAGGATAAGACTCTTAGAGAGTTTATCTAAATCATACTGGGAGTCCAAGATTAGCAGTAATACTACGTCCATTGAAGCTAGGCTTCTATTGGGATTAGGTAAGTATTGGCTATAAAAGAGAGGCACCCCATGGGTCTAAGGTATGCAATTTATATTCTGAATAGTGAATTTAGCACTATTGATTATCTTTAAGACATACTGACTTGATCGTCGGAGTGCCCCCGAGTGGACGAACCACCGCCGGAATCTTCTCTTTTTATTGCAGGCCAGATAGGTGCCATCTATTCTGCCAGTGCTCTCCAGCTGAATACTGAGTTGGCAGTGTGGTCGGAAAATCACTCACACAATTTGGCGTCGCCTGTGGGAAAGAAAGGAGAATAGATGGCCAAAAAGAGAAGGTTGGGGACGACACCCCTACTGAGAGTGGGAAACATATTGACCTTGACGTCAAAGAAGACAACTGCAACAAAGAGACCCGTGATAAGAATCATAGAGGAAAGGACATCGGCTAGGAGGGCGGCGTACCGAAGAAATCGGACCGGAGCGGGTATTATAACGAGGACGACCTCCAGGTATGGAAAGATAGATGCCTGCGGAGGGACGACGAGATAAAGGGAATGGCCGACAAATTGGCGGACTTGCAAACGGTTGTCAATTTCATGATGCAGAACAACGTCATGCAGCCACCGTTCCCGCTACAAGATACGCCGATTCCAGCGGCCAAGAAAGGTGCCCAGAAAGGGGGCCAGAAAACGGTTCCTGCAGTCCCTCAGCATGGCGGGACCAAGGGACATTCTCACCAGTCTTCGCGGGAGGTCGGGAATGGAGAATCCCAGAAGGCACGTCGAACAAAAGAAACCTGCACCAAAGAACATCGGGATGTTCAGGGGAAGGAACTCTGTTTCGACACGACCAGTGGAGGGAGGTCCAAAAGGACTCACGATGACACTAGAAGTAGTGCCCCAAAGAGGCTGAAATCCGGAGATAGCCGGGCCCTTGGACGAGCCAAAGAGGATCTGGGAGATCACCTACAGAGGAAGCAACAAAATGTCGAGGTAACCTCCCCAGTCAAACCGAGAACGCCGTTCTCGGAAGAATTAGACAAAGTTGAGGTCCCGAAGAGATTCAGTATGCCGAGGTTCCAGATATACAATAGGAAGTCGAACCCCAACTTTCACGTCGGATTACACCTGAACGCGATGGCGTTATACACTGGGAATGAGTCGTTGCTCTGCAAAGTGTTTCCCTCATCATTCGGGAAAATTGCATCGGACTAGTTTCATAAGTTGCCGAAAGGAATTGTGAAAACCTAGGAAGGCCTGGCCGAGATATTTGTGGCCAGGTTTGTGACAAACAAATTACAGCCATTGAGGGTAGACGCCCTAATGGCCCTGAAGATCGGCGAGGATGAAGGCCGTAGGGCCTATGCCAAAAGGTATCATGAGGTATTCAACCAAATACCATGATGCAACCAAGAGGTGGCGGTCATGTCGTTTAAAAACGGCTTGAAGAATGACAACCTGCCTCGAAAATCACTAGCAAAGACATTGCCGAAAAGCATGGAGGAGCTGATGGCCAAAATAGAAAAGTATGCCAGAGCCGAGGAAGACACGCCGGGG